CTTTGGTTCCTGTGTGGGAGAAACTGTGCTTTGCTGGGAAGTCTGACGGTATAAAGCACAATAATATCTCCAGAGGCTGCTGTGTCTCGTCCGAGAATGATGTTTCATTTGGCAGGTCCATCGGTTTCTGCCGTCTCAGTCGACCTCTGTAGGTTCATTGCTGTTTACGTCGGTCAGTTTCCGTGCGAATGTGTTGGTTCAGCCTGCCCATGTCGATGTACGTCGGTCTACGTCGGGTCGGAGAGAATATCCGATGCTTCTTGAGAGAAGGCTTGCTTTCAACCGCCACCAGGTGATTGGCGTCTCCGCAGAGCCTTCCCTGGTCAGCAAGACTTTCGCGAAAGCAAGCAGCATCACATTCCCGTTGCTGTCCGATCCGGCTGGAAGCCTTCCAAGGGCGTTGGAGATGAACGAGGCGGGCACCATCAAGCAAGCTGGGACCCTACCCCTGACGCAAGTCAAGAAAGACATGGGCGTTTCCAGTTTTGTGTTGTTTTGTTTGTTCAATCTTTGTTGTTGGGACTGTTCTTGCCATCAGGAAAAAGGGCTGGTCAGGATTAGGGACCCTCAGGGAAGCCGCTGGGCGTGCTACATTGGCGCTGGCAGGCGTATCCTAAGATTCTGGCCCGAGATTGACCCACTGCATTTCCCTGCGAATGTCGCGAGGGAGTTGAGATGAGCAGTGCTTGGCTCGCTGGCGGAAGCCCAAAACATAACTACAGTTACAGCTAGTTGTGATGTACACAGAGAATGAGAGAACGAGTGAACGAGAGAGAGAGAGAGAGAATGAGAGAGGAGAGGGACAGAAAGAGAGAGAGAGAGAGACAGAGAAAACAAGAGGACGAGAAAGATAGAGTAGTTCATCGCCAAGAGATGTGCACGTCGTGGCGCCTGTGGGCACCCCGTGCGCTGCTGTTTGTCCCACGGGGACCCCCACGGGCAGGGAACCGCATCTGCAAAAGTGATCCTCCTTCCACAGCTCTCTCCCAGTTGGGCTGGCGAGCAGAGCAGCGGCTCGTGGTGCGGTGTCAAAACCATAATCGAACAACCGTATGTCTGTCTGTGTGTGTGTGTGTGTTTGTGTTTGTGTTTGTGTGTTTGTGTGTTTGTGTGTTTGTGTTTGTGTGTGTGTGTGTTTGTGTGTGTGTGTGTTTGTCGCCTCCACTTGCACCTCCTGGTCACAGTGCTGCTCCCCTCGCTGCCCATGCCCAGGTATGCGCATGGCATGGTTGACCCCTTGTGGACCCCTGCCCCTTCTCCTGAGGGGCCAGGCGCGCGCGCTGCTAGTCCGTTCTGGCTTATCTTCTCATCGTCGCCGCGCGCGGGGCTGCGATCGCCAAAAGTGTGTGTGTCTGTGTGTGTCTGTGTGTGTGTGTGTGTGTGTGTCTGTGTGTGTGTGTCTGTGTGTGTGTGTGTGTGTGTGTGTGTGTGTGTCTGTGTGTGTGTGTGTGTGTGTGTGTCTGTGTGTGTTCTTTTTTTTTTCGTGTGTGTGTGTGTGTGTGTGTGAGAGAGTGAGTGTGTGTTTGTGTGTGTGAGAGTGAGTGAGTGTTTCTGGTGTCCTTCAGTTCCTCCGCGCCAGAGAGTGCAGCGTGGTAGGGTGTGCGCCGAAGGCCACAGCAAGGTTCTGGATCCGCGCGCTCTTGGACCGCGTCCGCGCCGCGTGCTCTCGAGGGCACCCCGGTGGGCCCGCAGCGGCCCCCCGGAGCGTCTCACAGCGCCTTAGATCAGAACAGCTCGGCGGCCACGGTCTCCTTCGTCCCTCCCGTCTGCACAGATGGACGGCCTTCGTTTTGCAGAGTGTGGGGATACTTCCGTTCATTTGTGTTTGCTCTCCGAGCAGGCTGGCCTGCGAGATCTCACAATCTGCATGGGTGCTGGCCTTCTTATTTGGGTTTTTGCTTGCTTATGCTTGCTCGCTCGCGTGCTTGTTTGCCCTGTGCTTGTTCGAGGGTGTGGAACGTGATAATCATATGGTCCACGAGACTTGTGGGAACTGGACGAAATCACACGATGCGGAATCAACGAGCTAAGGACCCGATTCTGATAACCGGGAGTTCTATGATCCTGGCACTACTCAGGTGTCCCAGGCCGCCCCCTGTCGGAGCGTTCCGTCAGAGCCTCTTCCTCGGAGGTGGCCTGCTGTTGACAGGCACCTAGTTGAAACTCTCTCTTGGTTCACTTCATGGATGCATTTCACCTCGTCGATGGGGGGGGGGGGCGATGTATGCGGCAACGCGTTTCACTCTATCGAAGCCTCCTGGCGCCATTGTCGCTGCGGGATGCTGCCCCTCCCCTGACGTTGCAACTTCGGGGAGCCTGGTCTGTCCTGGAAATGCTGGTCCTTCGCTGGTGTCCAACGTATGTTCGACGCGGAGTCGTGGTACATTCGACGCAGATTCGGCAAGCTCGACACCGTTCCGACGTGAATTCGACGCGGATGGCGGCGCGATGGGACAGACAAGGCCCCGCGAAGATGCAGCACGATTCCCGGCCCCGCCAGATCCCGATGTTCCCGACGCCTTCGCCGGCGCCGACGCCGTCTCCGGCGCCGGTCCTGTCGTCGCCCGTGCTGCCAGTGGCGGAGCAGGAGGACGCCTCCGCCCTCGCCGCCGGCTGCAGCGGCGGCGCCGGGACTCTGGGGTCCCGCCAGCCTCCGTGCGTGGTCGGTGGGCCTCCGGGCGTCGCGAAAGCAAGCAACGAGCGGCATTTCCCTTGACATTTCTCGAAGAAGAGAAACTCAGGAGGGGAACAAAAACACACAGACACAATTGATCGTCGATGCCCTAGAGAATATGGGAAAGTATGGGAATTGGGGGGGAAGACAAAAACCCAGAACATATGGGAAATTACGGGGAATCCTGCTATTTGTCTCTATTTATTCGCGTGTCCCAGGGCCCCTTCCAGAAGCAGCGTGAGCACAGCTTTTCGGGGCTCGGCGCGGGCTGCTTGGGACGGCGCCGGGCCCCCCTGGCGGCGCCCCGGGGGCGCTCCGCGCGCCAGAGAGCCGGGGTGTCCGCGCCGTGGATCCATCGGGCCTGTCCCTCTACAGGGGGAGTATTCAAAAATAGTCAAATTCTTTACGCTTCGCGTATCCCCACCAGCCCATCTCAAAACAGCAACTCTTGCGAAGCATGCCGACAGTCGTGTTTTTCAGGCGTGTTTCCGCCTGCCCCCGCATATCTCCCCTGTTCCTCCTTCCTCCCGCCTCCTTGTACATCCTCCTTGTGGTGGGAGCGGGAGGCTTAAATCGGGCCTGTCCCTCTACAGGGGGAATATTCAAAAATAGTCAAATTATGCTGACGGAGTTCCCCACATGAAGATGTTGCGGGGTTCCATTGCTTCTTGTCTGCGCTCTGGTGGGGCCTCCCTGGAGGGGTGGGAGGGGCACGAAACCTGATGAATAATATGGTGTGCGAATACCCTGCCCGCTCTGGTGGGGCCTCCCTGGAGGGGTGGGAGGGGCAGGAAACCTGATGGATAATATGGTGTGCGGATACGCTGCCCGCTCTGGTGGGGCCTCCCTGGAGGGGTGGGAGGGGCACGAAACCTGATAAATAATATGGTGTACGGATACCCTGCCCGCTCTGGTGGGGCCTCCCTGGAGGGGTGGGAGGGGCACGACACCTGATAAATAACATGGTGTGCGAATACCCTGCCCGCTCTGGTGGGGCCTCCCTGGAGGGGCGGGAACGGCACGAAACCTAATAATAAAATATGGCGTGCGAATACCCTGCCCGCTCTGGCGGGGCCTCCCTGGAGTGGCGGGAGGGGCACGAAACCTGATAAATAATATGGTGTGCGAATGCCCTGCCCGCTCTGGTGGGGCCTCCCTGGAGGGGTGGGAGGGGCATGAAACCTGATAAATCATATGGTGTGCGAATACCCTGCCCGCTCTGGCGGGGCCTCCCTGGAATGTTGGGAGGGGCGCGAAACCTGATAAATAACATGGTGTGCGGATACCCTGCCCGCTCTGGTGGGGCCTCCCTGGAGGGGTGGAGGGGCACGAAACCTGATAAATAATATGGTGTGCGAATACCCTGCCCGCTCTGGTGGGGCCTCCCTGGAGGGGTGGGAGGGGCACGAAACCAGATAAATAACATGGTGTGCGAATACCCTGCTCGCTCAGGCGGGGCCTCCCTGGAGGGGTGGGAGGGGCACGAAACCTGATAAATAACATGGTGTGCGAATACCTTGCTTGCTCAGGCTGGGCCTCCCTGGAGGGGTGGGAGAGGCACGAAAACTTATAAATAACATGGTGTGCGAATACCCTGCTCGCTCAGGCGGGGCCTCCCTGGAGGGGTGGGATGGGCAGGATACCTGATAAATAACATGGTGTGCGAACACCCTTCCCGCTCTGGTGGGGCCTCCCTGGAGGGGTGGGAGGGGCACGAAACCTGATAAATAGCATGGTGTGCGAATACCCTGCTCGCTCAGGCGGGGCCTCCCTGGAGGGATGGGTGGGGCAGGAAACCTGATAAATATCATGGTGTGCGAATACCCTGCTCGCTCAGGCGGGGCCTCCCTGGAGGGGTGGGAGGGGCACGAAACCTGATAAATAACATGGTGTGCGAATACCCTGCTCGCTCAGGCGGGGCCTCCCTGGAGAGGTGGGAGGGGCACGAAACCTGATAAATAACATGGTGTGCGAATACCCTGCTCGCTCAGGCGGGGCCCCCCTGGAGGGGTGGGAGGGGCACGAAACCTGATAAATAACATGGTGTGCGAATACCCTGCTCGCTCAGGCGGGTCCTCCCTGGAGGGGTGGGAGGGGCACGAAACCTGATAAATAACATGGTGTGCGAATACCCTGCTCGCTCAGGCGGGGCCTCCCTGGAGGGGTGGGAGGGGCACGAAACCTGATAAATAACATGGTGTGCGAATACCCTGCTCGCTCAGGCGGGGCCTCCCTGGAGGGGTGGGAGGGGCACGAAACCTGCAGCTCAAACACGAAACCTGATAAATAGCATGGTGTGCGAATACCCTGCTCGCTCAGGCGGGGCCTCCCTGGAGAGGTGGGGGGGGGCACGAAACCTGATAAATAACATGGTGTGCGAATACCCTGCTCGCTCAGGCGGGGCCTCCCTGGAGGGGTGGGAGGGGCGCGAAACCTGATAAATAACATGGTGTGCGAATACCCTGCTCGCTCAGGCGGGGCCTCCCTGGAGGGGTGGGAGGGGCACGACACCTGATACATAACATGGTGTGAGGAAAGGCACGGTATGGTATGGGATGGTGGATGCATGGTATGGTATGGTATGGTAAGGTATGGTATGGAGTGGCATGGTATTGGTATGGTATGATACAGTATGGGATGGTGGAGGAAGCGGGAGGAGGATGATGAGAGGATGTTCTGGGAAAATAAGAACCCCACTCAGGATGTGGGGAACAATAGTCTGGGGACATTTTTTTTGACTGTTTTTGGGTATCTTTTTGGCATTTTTGGAGTATCTTTAATTTTTCGTCCAAAATCACCCTGTAGGGAGACAGGCCCGACCTAAGGCTCTTGTTTATGCACTTGTCTGGCTGCTCGAGTTTCGGCCTTTGGAGGTCCGCTTCGGGCTCTCGAGCCACAGCACACCGCAGCAGAGCCAGGGACGAGTACCAGAGCAGGGTCGATGACAGGTCCAGGGGGCGGGGGGGCTCTCTGTGAACAAATCCACGAGTTCGGAGGCGTGAGTAATTCATGAGGGGGAGAAGTACGCAGACACAAGTCAATGTCGACTTCCAAGAAAATATGGGAAAACATGGGAAAGGGGGGGAATACGAAAATCGGGGAAATCTAGGAAACTATGGGGAATCCTGGGATTTGTGTGTATTTACTTGTGTTCCTGGGCTCCTTCAGTAATGGCCAGGGGTCTCTGGAACAACCGAGCAGGCCTTCAGAAGGGAACAGAGCAGCCCAGGGCGCCCAGAAGCAGCTGATTTATGGCATTCGTTGGGCTGTTCCCCTTTGACCGTGCTTGCACTTAGGCTTAAGTCGGGCCTGTCCGTCTACAGGGTGAATATTCAAAATGAGTGAAAAATAGTTTGGGGATGATTTTGTGACCACTTTTGATCATTTGGGGGGTATTTTTTTTGAGTATTTTTTATTTTATTTTTCGTCCAAGATCACCCTGTAGGGGGACAGGCCCGACTTAAACTTAGGGGCTCTTGCATGGGCTCTGAGTATGCGTAGCTCTAGAGGGGGAAAAAACACAGGCACAAGGATTCGTCGACCCCCAGGAAGATCTGGGAGACTGAGGGAAATGGTGGGGGAAGACGAAAACCCAGGAGACGTGGGGAAATAGGGTTGTGGAAGTCGATGAATGGAGAGGAGGCGTGCTGCCAAATACTTTCCAGATGTCTGAAAGATGTTGCAAACATAGGGGGGATCCTGGGGTTTGCGCCTGTTTGTTTGTGCGTCCCGGGGCCCCTCCGGTGGCCGGCTCTGTGCTCCTCGGCCGCCCAGGCGGGGCCGGAGTCGATGGGGCCGGAGAATCGCGCCGCCTCGCCGACGCATCGCCGATGCGGCCCGATGCGGAGCCCGACGTTCTCCACGCCGACGTCGCCGATACGTCGCCGACGTCGACGCCTCATCGCCGGTGCATCGCCGATGCGTCGCCGATGCACCGCCGATGCATCGCCGACGTATCGGCGATGCGGCGCGGTGCTCCGGCCCCGGCTGCTCCGACCCCATCCGGGAGGCCCGTGGCCGCCCGTGGCCGTCTGCGGCGCTGCCTCCCATGGCCTCCCCGCGGCCCGCCCGCCCCCCGCAGAGGCTCCGCGCTGCCTCTGGCCCTGCCCGTGGCCGCCCAGGGCTCTTGGCCTCGCACGGCGTCCCTGCGGCCTCCCGCCTGGCCCCCGACGTGCGATGGTCAGGAGGGGGACAAAAACGCACAGACACAGTCCATCGTCGATTCCCTCGAACAGATGGGAAAACATGGGAGGTGGGGGGGGGAAGACAAAAGCCCAGGAGGTATGGGAAAATATGGGGAATCATTCTATTTGTGTGTATTTATTTGTGTGTCCCAGGGCCCCTCCAGATGCGGCGTCAGCGGCACCGTAATGGTCACTCACTGGCGGGCCGAAAGCTGCCATTTTCGGGCCTCTTTCTGGCATTGCAGCGCTGCCCACATCGGGGAGGGTCGGGTTCGCTGGGTCACTGGCCAAAGCACCCGTCAGGAGTCCCCGATAGAGGGGCGCTGATCCTGGTGATCGTTTTCTTATTCATTGTTTTGCCGATCGGCGCGGGCCCTCGCACCTTACCCCAGGGCCACCGAGCGCGTGCCACTACACGCAGAGTGCCTGCTCGCAAACGTCCGGAGAACACTTGTTCCCCTCGTTGTCGTGGATCGCACATCCTCCGCGGCGGATCCAGGCCATTTGCGAGTAGTTACTTTGCGATTCGTGGAACGCGCTTGTCTGTATGACGTAGATCTTGGCTGCTTTTGGCGTCTGTTTCAAGCAGGTGGAGTCTCCCCCATTGGACGCACTGCTGCAAGCATTCGCATTGAGCAGAGGTCCGGAGCCAGACCCCCCCCTCTCCCCCCCTCTTCCTCCCAATGTCGAAACGCCGAACAAGAGGACGTTCACCTTTCTTTTGGGGGGGGTCCGTGGAAGTCCTGATCCTTTCCTGGGGACCAGTGTTTCATGCTGGGCAGGTTTTTTGACGGTCCTGGGGCCCGGCAAGGGCCCGCAGAGACCGAACACGGCCAAGAACTTCCCGTCAGGTCCTTTCACGACGCGAGCATGTGTTGGGCTGGCCCAGTGTCTGCGCAGCCCGCCGTTGCCGCGTGGCCTCCCGCGGCGCCCCGTGGCGTCCTGGACCTCCGATGGCGCGGCCCCTCGTGGCTGCCCGGCCTCCTGCGGCCTGGCCGCCTGCGGCTCCTCGGCCCGCGGCTCGGCGGCGCATCGAAGAGGAACACACTGCGCGAATTTTGGCGTCGCGGCCACGCGCGCGGCGGCGCGGCGCAGGCAGTCGGGCGGGGGAGCGGGCGCGGCCGGGCCAAAAACGCAGCGTGGGGACCAGGGATCCATCCACCCACAGGGATCAACCAGGTCACTCGCGGTGGGGCGCGAGGGGGAAGGGAAGAGAGGGGGTGAGAGCGGCGGCAATCGGAGGTGTGCAATGCGGGAAGCAAGAAGGGCGCAGCGCGAAAGCGTAACGGCCCTCCGATAGAGGGGAAGAGCAGCAGGCAGACAGCCCGACGAATGCAGACGGTGGGATGAAACAAGCAGAAAGAGCGGCACAACCATATACTTTCGGAGTTTCGTGCGGATTTCTCGCATCGGCGCTGGCCCCCCTGGCGGCGACTCCGTTGCCGCCCCTGGCGCGCTCCGCGCGCCAGGGGCGCCGATCCAGGAAATCCGCTACACACGAACTCCAGCCCCGCGGTAGGTCTGCGCCGTCTGGCGCGGCTGCAGCGTGGGCGCTGTCGTTCGAGGTCGAAGGTTCCCCCGGCAGCCGTTCCGGGCCTCACGACAGCAAGCGGCATGAGCAGAAGCACACACTCTCGGAGGTCCGCGCGGATTTCGTGGATCTGTGCCGGCCCCCCCCCCGTGGCGGCGCCTCCGCTGCCGCCCCGGCGCGCCCGGGAGGAGGGGGGTCCCGCGCCGATCCCGGAACTCCGCGCGGAGCTCCAGAGGCGTGTGTTTTGTGTAGCTGTTTCTCCCACCTGCGCCGAGTCGAGCGGCCAACGCGGCGGCAGAAGGCGAGGGCCCACGCCGACGCGGCCACAGCCAGCCGCCAGCCGGGTGGTGGCCCGCATCCCTAGAGAGGCCCACGTGCCTCGGCGGCACGCAGGGGTCTGTGAGCGTGGCCCTTTGCTGGTGTGGCCTTGAGTGCTCGGCTTTCCCCGGGGCGCGTGGGGAGCCAACCCCAGTCATCGAAGACAAGAAAACGGCATCAGCCTAAACTTTCGGCGCTCAGAGCGGATTTCTTCGATCTGCGCTGGGCCCCCTGGCGGCGCCTCCAGCGCCGCCCCTGGCGCGCGGAGCGCGCCAGGGAGGGGGGGTCCAGCGCAGATTCAAGAAATTCGCGCGTAGTGCCGAAAGTTCATGCAAATGCCGTTTTCTTTGGTTTCTATAAGTCGCGCAGCTGCCGTCGCATCGCACGCTCCTCAGGGGGCCGACCCTTTCCTCCTTCATCGGCGCAGCGGTATCCTATTTCTCCTCCTCCTCATCCGGCTCCTCATCCGGCTCCTCTGCTGGGCTCCTGGTTCCCAGTGGCATGAGGTTCCGGTGGTTGGTGGGTGCTGTCTCCCCCTCCCCTGCTCCTCCTCCTCGGCCTCCTCCTCTTGCTCCACATTCTCCTCCTCCGCCGCCTCCGCCTCCTCCTCCTCCTCCTCCTCCTCCTCCACATCCTCCTCCTCCGCCTCCTCCTCCTCAATTTCTTTTCCTTGCAACGAATTTCTCCCTGTCGCACCCCGAGGCCAGTTCTTTTAGGGCGGGCCGGGCGTTTCGCTCGAGACGTCCTCACCATCTATGGCCCGGAAGCTTAAGCGTTGGCAGCGGTTTCACAGATGGAGGGCGGGTCATTTGCAAAATGTGGCTCTCGCCTTGGCGCTGCGCACAGTTGTTTTTAAGCTTTGCAAGAGTTTCACGGATTGAGGGCGGTTTCTTTTCAACATGTGGCTTTCGCTTCAGCGCCGCGCACATTCGTTCGTTTCTAAACTTTTGCAAGAGTTTCACGGATTCCCATGCTCAGCGTGCCAGAACTGGCTTTTTGGACGGATTCAGGATTATGAGGGTGCAACAGTTACGTTGATTCGCGGTGTTGAAGCCCCAGGAATGTCGTTCTGGCAGGATTCAGGATCGTCAATACGCAACAATCAGGTTGATCCGTGGCGTTGGAATCCCGAGAACACTGTTTCGGCATGCTTCAGGGTCTTCAAATGGTTGTCTTCCAACGGAGCAGTTCCCGCAGTGGAAATGAACCGTTGTAGGGGCCTGTGAAGAGGGAGCCTGGAGGGAGGGTTTATTCCAACATCGGTGCTGACTCTTGGGTTTACACTGGTCCTCCTCCTCCTCCTCCTCATCATCATCATCATCCACGAGGTCTGCTTCGCGGCACCCGTGCGAGGCGAGGTGGAGTGTCGTGGACGCTTTGGGCTTGCGCCTGGGGGCGTCCTTGGTCCCTGCCTGGCCTTGCTTGGGCGACGTGCGGGTGGGGTGCCTGGGATCCACTTCCGTGGTGAGGCCCGTCCCTTTGATCAGGACGCCCCACATCCACAGGGAACAGCAATTCCTGTGATGCTTCTCCCCCTCCCTGCTCCCCAGAACTCCGACGTCGTGATTTTTCACAGCGTGGCGGACCCCTGGAGGTCTGGATCCTTTTCCGAGAGCGGCTCTTCATCTTGTGGTGTTGGGTCCTCGTTTTGAATACGCATCGCCACGCGTCCCTCCTCCTTCCCTCCTCCTCCCCTCGTCCCTCATCCTCGTCATCATGATCCTCATCTTCATTAAGAAGAGGAGGAGGAGGAGGAACATGAGGAGGCGGAGGAAGAGGAGGAGGAGGAGAAGGATGAGACGGAGGAGGAGGCGGAGGAGGATTACAGACTAATACAAAGACAAATCAGACTAGTAACACTAATACTATTAACTACTAATGCTACTGTGAATACTGAGAATAACAACCATGCACATACGAGGATGAGGAAGAGGATGAGGAGGAAGAGGAGGAGGAGGAGGAGGAGGAGGAGGAGGAGGAGGAGGAGGAGGAAGAGGAGGGGGGAGGAGGAGGCGGGAGGAGGGAAGGAGGGAGGGAAGGAGGGGCGCATGAGGATGAGGAGGAGAAGCAGGAGAGAGGGGATAGAGGGGGAGGGAACGAGGGAACAGGGAGGCGGAGGAGGAGGAGGAGGAGGAGGAGGAGGAGGAGGAGGCGGAGGAGGAGGCTGAGGGAGGAGGCGGAGGCGGAGAGGCGGAGAGGCGGGCGGAGGAGGAGGGAGGAGGAGGGAGGAGGAGGAGGGAGGAGGAGGAGGAGGGGGGAGGAGGGAGGAGGAGGGAGGAGGAGGAGGAGGAGGGGAGGAGGAGGAGGAGGAGGAGGAGGAGGAGGAGGAGGAAGGAGGAGGAGGAGGGGAGGAGGAGGAGGAGGAGGAGGAGGAGGAGGAGGAGGAGGAGGAGGAGGAGGAGGAGGAGAGGAGGAGGAGGGAGGAGGGAGGAGGAGGAGGAGGAGGAGGAGGAGGAGGAGGAGGGAGGAGGAGGAGGAGGAGGAGGAGGAGGAGGAGGAGGAGGAGGAGGAGGAGCAGGAGAGATGGGATAGAGGGGGAGGGAACGAGGGAACAGTGAGGCGGAGGAGGAGGAGGAGGAGGTGGAGGAGGAGGAGGAGGAGGAGGAGGAGGAGCGGCGACGTCGTCGCTTCGCTTCCCCCTCTTTTCTCTTCCCCGCCTCGCGCCACGTGACGCGGAGGATCTTGGCGCGGGCATAAGGGAAGGCAAGGACAAGAAGTCCAAGGACGGCCCTTCCAACGCCTTCCCTCTCCCTCCCTCCCTTCTCCTCCCCCTCCTCCTCCTCCCTCCCTTCTTCCTGTTCCCCTCCTCCCAGTCAACTAGGATGCTCTGCCGCCGTGTGGCTTCTGCGCCAACGCGTACTAAACTGTATCGATGAGTTGAAAAGCGCGTTATCTACATGTTGTTTAATCGCTTCGATGGCTCCGCCGGTCCATCTTGCGCGCCTTGGAAGCCTTTTGGGGCTTCCTGGGGTCCTCTTCGGGCGCAAGACTCGATTTGTCGGTTCATGCTCCACCTCTTGGGCCTGTTTGAGGGCAGTTTTGGGGCTCTCCTGGGCTGTCTTTGGGCGCCTCTCGGACCGTTTCGGGGCCGTCCCGATGTGTCTTGGGACTTTCTTGGGGGCCTCTTGGGCCGTCTTGGGGCGGTCTTGGGGGCCCCTGGGGCCGTCTTGGAGCTTCGGATGTTCGAAAAGGCGATAGCGTGAAACACATCTTGAAGAACACAAAATCACAGATGTTTGTCTATGCGGGCCCTCTTGGGGAACTTCTTGGAGCGCTCTTGGGGATTCTTTGGGGCCTCTTTGGCTGTCTTGGAGGCATCTTCGACCATCTTGGCGGCTTTGGTGGCCTCCCCGGTCCGTCTTGGAAGCCATCTTAGGCATTTGGGGCGCATCTTGGGCGCATCGAAGAGCGCGTTGTTTTGTGGCTTAGAATCGTCAGGGATGCTCGTGGCGAGCGAGAAGGCAGAGAAGGAGGAGGAGGAGGAGGAGGAGGAGGGGGAGGAGGAGAAGGAGGAGGAGGAGAGGAGGAGGATGAGGAAGATGCCTCTCGATCGCTTCTTGGGGCATTTCGGGGCCAACCTTGATCGTGGACAAGACGCCTGTCTGTTTGGGAGGTTGCTTGGGGCCTCTTGGGAGGCCTCTCGGGGGCTCTTGGCGGCATTTTTGGAACCTCCTGGGGCCTTTTGGGGGCATCTTGGGGCCTCTTGCGAGACTCTTAGGGACTTCTTGGGGCCTTCTGTGGGCCTCTCGGGGCCGAGAGCTGAAATGTCAGGTCGGGTGCCTCTTCAGGGCCCGCTCTTGGAGCTCTCTTGGGGGTCTCTTGGGCCGTCTTGGAGGGCTCTTGGGCTGGCTTCGGGCCCTCTGAGGCCGTTTTGAGGCCCTCTTGGAGGCGTCTTGGGCCGTATTGGGGCGATCTGGGGGGCCTGTTGGGCCGTCCTGGAGCTTGGGTCAGACGAAAAGGCAAGAACGCCTAAATCCTTGCAAAATCAAAGGTCATCCATTTTTTTTTGCCTCTGGGGGCCCTTTTGGGAGGCCTCTTGGTGCGTTTGAAAGGCGTCTTGGGCAATCTGAAGGCCATATTGGGCGTCTTGGACCGATCGTTCGACGATTAGGAGCTCGTCTTGGGGGCCTTTTGGGGCCCTCTTGGAGCGCTCTGGAGGGCCTGAAGGGTGGCGCCCAGAAAAGCTTGCTATCTACACCTTATGGACGCAGTGCTTTCTCCCGCCAGGCCACCAGCCCCCGCAATCTATCACATACCGGGCGACCCGGTCCCCGCGCCCAGCCCCTCCCCCCGGGGGTCCGGGAGCTCCTTCTGCGTGGGGCCATTTTTCGGCGTCCGGGAGCTCTTTCGGGGACTTGCAGGAGGCCCAAAAGGGCTTTTGGACGAGCCCCGAGACAGAACCACGACGGCCTGAGCGGGCCCTCAGAATTAAACCACAGTAGAGTGAGTTGTCCACGAATCATCGGCCACATGCGCGCTGCGTGTCCACAGCATCTGGCCACAGAACCGCCTTCCAAAGGCAGGGTGCGGCGGTGACTCGCCATAGTCGTCTTGATACTCTTTTCCCTGCTCCTCATCTTGACTCTCCTAAAACAATCCTCCTCATATTGTGTCTTGTTGCTTCCCGTTGCGTTCCCATTGTGCACTCTCCATCAGATGTTTCATCCTTGTTCTACTCTCGCCTTGTTTTCTATTGCCCCCGCGACTTCTTTCCGTCATAGCCAAAAGCGTTTGCCAGGAGGCGTTCAGATCTTCAACATTCGCCCACGCACTCCATCAAATGTTTGACGACTTGGGGGTCTCCCTCTGTTCGGCTGCAGTAGCTCTGCATTCTCCTTGGGAGAGTCTCCTCCTCACCCTTCACTCCTCATCCATCCTCATTGTCTTTCCTCCGCATTCTCAACGCTCCTATTCTTGTATGTTCCTCTTTCTGTCCAGTCGCCCTCCTGCATCCCCGCCTCCTCCCTTCAAGAAGTCACAACGGTGCGCCAAGAGGGCTCGTCGTTCATAAAGACAGCTCCTGCCATGGGACGTCCGTGGCTGCCTGACAGATGGTGGGAAGTCTAACTTGTCGGCGGAAGTAGCTCCACTTTTTCCTGGAGTAGGGATGTGGAGCGTTAGCAAGAGCCCCATCATGACCCTAAGACGCCATCGCCACACTGCGGCTTGGGATTGCCATGGCACGGTCCTTTTTCCGCGCGATGTCTGGGCGTCCAAGCTAGACAGATTTTGAGCGCTCGTGTGCGCGATTATTGTAGTATTGTATATATGTGCTAGCCACCAACCCCCGCAGTATATCAGATAACGGGGAACTGGGTCCCCGGACCCTGGGCTGGCACACTTTTTCAAAACTCTCCCCCCTCGCCAGGACCCCCCTTTAGTCCCCGCGGGGTCCCAACTCTTTTTCGGACCGCTTCCGGGCTGGGCCCGCTGTTGGGGAGCCGCCAAACAGCCCCCAAAGCGACAGCCGTCCTGATGGCTCAAGATTGTCCCGAGTTGCCCTGAAGACGGTCTCCAGGGGCTTCAGACTGTCCGAGAGGCTTTCCAAACGGCCCACGAGGCCCCCAAGACGGCCCAAAAAGGTCCCAAGAAGCCCCGACGAGTGCCCTGAAAGGCAAGGATCTGCTATTTTCCAAAAGTTTGTGATTGGTTATTGCGTTCAAGCTTTTTCGGGCTTGCAACGCTCCAAGACGGCTCGAGGCGCCCCGTCTCTCTACCCTTCCACCACGAATCGACCCCCCCTTCCGATCGAGCCCGGCCTGCGATGGACGGCCGCGCCAACGTGGAGGGGGACTGCGAGGCGCGCGATTCGGCGGAGGTCGACTTCCACGCCCCAGGCGCCGTCGGCGCTGCCCCATATTCTGGGCGGGTCGTGGTCCGACTTGCGGCGCATGCTGCCGTGGCTATGGCTGCCCTGGTCGGGCCGCGCCGAGGATCAGCGGCCCCGCGGCCGCAGGGGGGCCGCCCGAGGGATCTATGCTGGCGATGGACTTTCGACCCCTGCACGAGCACAACTTCATTGAGCACGACGATTCAATGACTATGCAAGACAACGTGGAGGCGGCCTTCTACCACTTCGCTTGCGACGTCGGACTTTGGGAGCGAGCTGACAGAGGACGAGACTGCAGTATTCAAGGTCGACTTCGCGTCGCGGATGGAGGGGCTGACCGAGGGCCGCGGTCTTGGACCTCACGTTGACGCAGCGCAGTGGAAGACAAGGTTGAAGAATGCCACCGATGACGAGAAGCCAATTTCCACGGAAGCGTTCGTGGAGGGCATCAACGGCCAGAACCTCGGCTATATGGTGGTGAAGCGTTCGGCCATGGAGAGTGTCGCGCACCGGGACATGAACTCACGCCTCGGGCTACTGCTGCCGAGTGGCCCGCTGAAGGAAGCTCCGATTAAGGTGATGTCGAGTTCGGTCTGCCTGCCGCGCAGCATCGACGCCTTCGGCGAGTGGCCAGGCTGCCATGGCGTCATCCGCCGCGATCGCAAGCAGGGCCGCTGCGCAAGTTGCCGGGCGTTCGCCGCCCTCTCTTTGCTGGATTGCAGGCTCTGTATCAAGACGCAGGGAATGTTCAACGGTGTTCGGGGGCATTTGAGACGGGCGCACGCTACTTCCTGTATCTGCGAACGCGACGGATGTCAGCCCAGAAGTCCAGCATAAGTCTTCAGGCTCGCTGGGTCGCGCGGGTCGCGCGGCCTTTCAACTGGGGGAGATGAGGGTTTATCCCTTATTTCGGCTCTGGCGCTGGCATCGAACAATTCGATTTTCAACAAGTTGCCCCGCCGCGCCCCGGGCGAGTGCAAGCGGGCCTCGTGCCCCAGGACCTCGCGGTGGCAAGTTCTTGTTCGGGGGTGATGGGAATTCTCGTTCCCTCCCCCCTCCCCCCTTCTTCCTCCTCCTCCTCCTCCTCCTCCTCCTCCTCCTCCTCCTCCTCCATTCGTTGTCCTCATAATTTCCCCCCGTCGCACCCCGAGGCCAGTTTATCGGGCGGGCCAGGCGTTTCGTGTCAGACTTTTTCGCCATTCATGGTCGTGAAGCTCAAAAGTTGGCAACAGTATCGCAGGTGGAGGGCGGGTGTTCTTCAGAATGCGACTCTCGCCTTTGCGCGGCGCGCATTCATTATGACAGTTTGCAAGAGCTTCACGGATTGAGGGCGGTTCCTTTTCAAAATGTGGCTCTCGCCATAGAGCGGCGCATTTTCGTTTTTCAAAATTTGCAGGAGGTTCGCGGATTGAGGGCGGTTCCTTTCCACACTGGCTCTCGTCTTAGCGCGGCGCGCATGTGTTTTGCAGTTTTGAAAAGGGGTTTCGCGGATTGGGGGCTGGTCGTTTTCAAAAAGTTGTTCTCGCCTCAGCGCGGCGTGCATTCGTTTTGCAATTTTGGAAGAGCTTCGCGGATTGAGGGCGGGTTGTTCTCATATTGTGACTCTCGCCATAGCGCCGCGCGCACTCGTTCTCAACAGTTGTGAGAATTTTGCGGGTTCCCATCACCAACTTGCCAGGAATTGTGTTTTGAAAGGATTCAGGATTGCGCGGGCGCAACAGTTGCGTTGATTCGTTCCAGGAATGGCGTGCTGGCCCGATTCTGGATCGTCAGCGCGCAACAGTCGGGTTGATCCGTGTCGTTGGAACCCCGATAACATTGGCGTGCTGCAGGGTCTTCAAACGGTTGTCTTCCAACGAGGCAATTCCCTTACTGGATATGGGCCGTTGTAGGAGCTTATGACGTTGGGGTTCGGAGAATGTTTATTCCAACATCGTTGATGCTTGGGCTTGCAGTGGTCCCTCTCCTCCCTCTCCATTCCTCCTCCTTGTCAATAAGTTCCCTGGTCGCACCCCGAGCTCAGTTTTTAGGGCGGGTTGGGCTTCGTCTGAGGCATCTTCGCCGCTTGCGACCCCGAGGCTCCATGAAAGATGGTACTTTCACAGATGGGGTGCGGGTCGTTTTCAAAATGTTGCTCTCGCCGTAGCGCCGCGCGCGTTCCCTCTAGCATTTTGCGAGAGTTTCGCGGATGGGGGGGAGTCGTCTTCAAAATGTGGTCCTCGCAATAGCGCCGCGCGCGTTCGTCGGGAGCTTCACGGATTGAGGGCGGGTCGTTTTTAAAATGTACCTATCTTGAAAAATTGCTTGGGAGTTTTGCGGATTGGGGGCGGGTCGTTTTCAAAATGTGATTCTCGCCGTGGCGCGGTGAAAGAGCTTCGCGGATTGAGGGCGGGTCGTTTTCACAATGTTGCTCTCGCCTTAGCACGGCGCGCGTTCGGTGTAAACAATTGCAGGAGTTTTGCGGTTTCCCAAAATCAGCGTGCCAGAAATTATGTTTTCAAGGGTTCAGGCTCATGATGTTGCGCAAGTGATGGTGGTTCGCGGTGTTCAAGTCCCAGGAATGGCGTTATGGTGCGATCCAGGATCGTCACGACGCAGCGATCAGGTTGATCCGTGACGTGCGAATCCCGAGAACAATGTTTTGGCATGCTTCGGTCTACTGCTGCCGAGTGGCCCGCGCAAGGAAGTTCCGAATGAGGTGGCGTGAAGTTCGGTCAGCCTGTCGCGCAGCTTCGACGCCGTCAGCAAGTGTCCATGGAGAGTGTCGCGCACCGGGACATGAATTCACGCTTCGGGCTACTGCTGCCGAGTGGCCCGCTGAAGGAAGCTCCGATTAAGGTAATGTCGAGTTCGGTCTGCCTGCCGCGCAGCATCGACGCCTTCGGCGAGTGGCCAGACTGCCATGGCGTCATCCGCCGCGATCGCAAGCAGGGCTGCCTCCCTCGCAAGATGCCGGGCGTTCGCCGCCGTCTCCGTGCTTCGCGGTAGGCTCTGTATCAAGACGAAGGGGATGTTCGACGGTGTTCGGGGGCATTTGAGCTGAGCGTGCGCTACTTCCTGTGCCTGCGAACGCGACGGATGTCAGCCCGGAGATCTAGCAAAAGTCTGCAAGGTCGCCGGGTCGCGCGGCCTCCCAACTAACGGGGGTGAGGATTGTATCCCGCATTTCGGCTCCGGCGCTGGCGTCGATCATGTTGATTTTCAACAAGTTGCCCCGCCGTGCCCTGTCGAGTGCAGGCGGGCCTCAGTCCCCAGGCCTTTGCGTCGTGACATGTTCTTGTTCGGGGATATGAGCTATTCGTATTCTTATGAACGCGCGCGGCAAGCGCAGGAAGTTTTGGTGAGTGATGGTCCTGTCGTCGGACTCGTGTTCGCCAGTGGCGAATTTATATTTTGCAGTTCTGGGGTTCTCTGCGCCGGATGCGGGAACGGCCCGAACCATTCCGTGGCCATCGCTGGTTACGGCGGGGACGCGCGTGGACGAAATCCCACGGGCCGCCGCTGTTTCTATTGGGGCCCGCTGAACTCCTGGGGGGGCGCGTGGGTCGCGCCACGCGAGATCATGTGCTTTCATGTCCCAGGCGCCATCGCCACTGGCCGCGCGAACGCCTTCCCAAGCCTTATGTTCCCCGACGAGGGCGGCGGCGGGGGAGGGGTCGGCGGTGGCAGCGAGGGGGGCCCCTTCAAGATCGTGAAGGGTAATTGTCAGATCGTGCAAGAGTGTGGCGAGCCCAAATTTTCCGGGCGCGTGAAGACAAGACGACAGTTGCGTCATCGAGGTCACCGTGGAACAAGGCAGTAAACTTGGTGTGTTGCATTTCAGTACCGAGGCTGGTCATGGCCGCCTCGACGTAAATGGCGTTGATTACAGTGGGGGGCCTCGTGGAGTGGGGGACCTTGAATCTTTGGTCGTCAGCGGCACCATCCGTTGGACGTCTGACCGCGCCGTCAATTTGGAGGGTTGGAAGATTTGCCATGGAGTCGAAGCAGCAACGCGCGTGACTTGCGACAGCTGGTTTGACGATGTCGAGCTATCCGATGGGGAGAAACAGTGCGTGAGCTGTCCCAGGGCTGTTCCACATCTTCCGGAACGGTCTGGGGAAGTAACGCCATACACCAGCGACTCGCCGATTTGCAAATCTTTGCCGTGCGTTTCGGCAGTCTTGATGATGGCAAGTCTCATATTGAGGTGCGTGCGATTGGCATGGCAAACAAGTTTGAGGCGGCCCTGGGCAATAGCTGTTGGCGTCGCGTGCAGATCCACCATGGATTGCACATGCGCATTTATTCGCATTCCTTGTGGGGGAAAAGGCGCGCACTTGTTTCGCTGATGCGCGAGTAGCCGTTTGTCGGGCGGAAAAAAAAAAACGGCTCGAGGCGCGCCAGACCGTCCCGCGAAGGCCCAAGAGGCGTCCAAGAAACCCCCGAGAAGGCGTCAGAGGCTTCCTTGGGAACCCCAAGATGACTCGAGAGGGCTCCAGGACGGCTCAAAGGCCCCCCAAAACGTCCCAAGAGGGACTCCTGAGCGGCCCCGAAGGGGGCCCAAGAGGGGGAGCACGAACCAACAATTCTCGCCTCTTTCCCCCGCAGGCTCCCGGGAGGCCCCAGAGGCTCCGCAAGGCCCCCAAGACGGCCCAATAGGGCTCCAAGAAGACCCCGACGAGTGCCCTGATAGACCAACGCTTGGTATTCTCCATTGGTTTCTTTTTGGTTCTTGCGTTCAAGCTTTTTCGGGTCTGCAGCGCTCCAGGAGTGCGCGAGGGGCGCCGTCGCGCCTCCTGCCTCAGAGGGGCCGGGAGCGCCGTCGGAAGCTCGGTTCGAGGCCAGTGAAAAACAGAGAGGCTGGGTGCGGGAGCTACAGTCGGACCTAGGCCAGAACAACATCCTTCAAGAGCACGAGACCCTGCGACGGGCAAAACAAGCAGAACATCCAAGGGCGTCTGAGACCAACCCAAGAGGGACTCCGGAGGAATCCAACGCGGCCGAAGAGAGCCCCGAGACGGCGCCAGAGCCCAAGAAAACCCCAAAAGGGCCTTCAAACGCCCGAGAGTTTTCCAGAGCGCCGAAAAGGCGGCCGAAAGGTTCTGAAGAGGAGGCCCCCGAGTGCCTTCCAAATTTCCGCCAACGCTGTTTAACAGGACTTCAGGAGAGCCTCCAGACGACCCTGGAGGGTCCGAGTCTGCCCAACAGACCCCACTAGGCTAGAAGAACGGTCTGGGACGTCCCAGGAGGAGACAAAAGGACCGAAGAAAGTGCCAAGCGGCAGCAATCGGCAGCAGCAGACCGCTGCAAACAAGATCAAGTACTATACGCTGCAGCAAGCAGCGGCAGGCAACGTCAAACAGCAACAAGTAGTTGCAAATGACAGCTCACATCAGCAACTAACCAGCGGCTTACACATCAAGGCTTCCCGATGAGACAGTTGTTCCTTACCTAGGCTCTGCCTAGAAGGGTTCTTACTTTCTTGGCTTAAAGGGGCCGGGCAGTGCAACCCGCCCCGGGCGGTTCCCCCAGTCCTTTGGGAGCCAAGCAAAAGCAACAGCAAAGGTAACAACAAACGCTCGGTTCCCCCAGTTGCGCTCCCTGGGTGGCAAGCAAAAGCAAAAGCAAAGGCAAAAGTGAAGGCAAAAGCGAAGTCAAAGCAAACGCATAGCATAGCATAGCATAGCGCAGCATAGCATAGCGCAGCATAGCATAGCATAGCCTAGCCTAGCCTAGCCTAGCCCAGCATAGCATTGCGCAGCATAGCATAGCATAGCATAGCATAGCATAGCATAGCATAGCAGAGCATAGCAGAGCATAGCAGAGCATAGCATAGCATAGCATAGCGCAGCACAGCATCCACTATTGCTGCTGCTATAGGCTCCTACTAATGTTGCTTTCCTAGAGGCTCCAATTCCTAGGTAGGGTCGCACTGGGATAATTTTGTATGTTTTGTTTTTGTGGTTGTGGCCCCCCTTCACGCCCCCAATCTCTGGCAACACAGTTCGGTGGTGGGAGTGGTTTCGTTCGGGCCGAGGGTGATCGCCAAAGAACTGAGGCGCTGAATGATTGAGCTCAGCAGAAGATTGCCATGCTGGTAGTTGCTGGCTTTTGGTGATAGAGACGAAGCCGTCCACGTGCTGAACAGCTCACCCACGCAGCCTTGTTGCTTCTGGAAGGTGGGCCGGTGGGTTGCCACCCTGCGAGGGGCAGATGCTGGAAGAGGCAAGGGCTCGTCGCGCACCCGTCGCGGCACAACGGGGTCTTGCTGGGTTCCCCCAGAGGGTTTCAAGGATTTCCGCGGTTCGGTCGGTTCGGCTGCGTCACAGTCGATTGCGTTCGGTCGGTTCGGCTCGGTGCGGTTCAGTCGGCCGTGGCGCCGCTGCTGCGTCGCAGCGTCCTTCTCGGCCGCTTTCGGGAGCGCCAGTCGCGGTTTTGCTGTTGGTTCGGCTGCGGTGCCGCCGCGGGCGCCCCCGGGGTGCTCGGGAACAGAAACCTGCTGGGGTCTCCGACAGGGGCGGCTCGCGGGTGCCCCCATGGGCCCCCGCCGGCCCCAGACCTCTGTCGGGTTGTTTGTTTTGTCCGATCCTGGCGTTCTCTTCCGGGCTCCTTCCGTCGGAAACTGGAACGCGTACACTACCAGTTCCGGGCTGTTTTTCAATCCCAGGACTTTTTGAGGGTCGGGTCGACGTCGGGGTGGTGTGGTGTATATATCCGTAAGGGCTTCGCCCCATGCCGCCGGCCCCCTGTCTCGGATAATGGGAGATGCAAAAGCTAAATCATGAGGTCTGGGCGCTGCCGTGAAGCAGTGTCGGGACCTGTTTGTTTTCCGACCCTGACCCTACGGATCTGCGTCACGGGTGCCACCGAATTTCAGAAATGTGGCAAATCCCCTGTGTTTTTGGACCCTGACCCTACGGATCTGCGTGAGGGGTGCCACCGAATTTCAGAAATGTGGCAAATCCCTTGTGTTTTTGGACCCTGACCCTGCCGATCTGCTTGAGGGGTGCCGCCGAATGTGAGAACTGTGGCAAATCCTTTGTGTTTTTGGACCCTGACCCTGCCGATCTGCGTGAGGGGTGCCAGTGAATGTCAGAAATGTGGCAAATCCCGTGTGTTTTTGGACCCTGACCCAGCCGATCTGCGCGAGGAGTGTCACCGAATGGCAGAAGTGTGGCAAATCCCGTGCGTTTTTGGACCCTGACCCCGCAGATCTGCGTGAGGGGGGATGCCACTGAATGTCAGAAATGTAGCAAATCCCGTGTGTTTTTGGACCCTGACCCCGCCGATCTGCGTGAGGGGTGCCACTGAATGTCAGAAATGTGGCAAATCTTGTGTGTGTGTGTTTTTGGACCCTGACTCCGCCGATCTGCGTGAGGGGTGCCACTGAATGTCAGAAATGTGGCAAATCCGGTGTGTTTTTGGACCCTGACCCCGCCAATCTGCGTGAGGGGTGCCACCGAATTTCAGAAATGTGGCAAATCCTTTTGTTTTTGGACCCTGACCCCGCCGATCTGCGTGAGGGGTGTAAATTTTTACCCACCCCAGCAATTCAGACAATGCGATTTCTCCGTGGTAATAATGCCCGTTTTGGGCCTCCCCCCCCTCGCGCGGTCCATCAACAAGGAACAGCAAGCAGCAAGAAGTCAACAAAGAACAGTAAACAGCAAGAAGCAGAACTGTAACAGTGGGAACTGGAAGCTGCAACTGGTACAGGAAACTGCGAAGCTTAGGCCTACAGCCTGGTGGCCCCACAAGGGGGCCGGCGGATTTTTTCTGATTCCCCCGAAGCCAAGGAACATGTATACACCAGGGTTCCGTGTACACCAGGATCAGTTTCCCTATGCAGATTTCAGCGCAGGGCTGGAAAAAGCGTCGGTGTATAGAGCCCGGTCCCTTGCTTATGGCCTTTTCATTTGATTGTTTTTGTTGTTTGTTTGTTGTTCCGATTCCGGGCTCCTTCGGGCCGTTCTCGGCGTTCCGGGCCAGCAAAGAAAAACTTGGAAGCAAAGTTGGGCCCTAGGGAGGGGTTGATGGGTCTGAGGCCCACGGATTGAAAAATTATGGTGTCGGAAGTCTGGGATTACACGTGGGTTTCGGCTTGCCCTTCTCGCGCGTGGCGTGAGAGCTCTCGTTCGGTTCAGCAGGCCCTCTCTGCGTTCTCTGCGAGACGGCTGGTCATATATCCGACGAGCGTTTACCTTTTGCCTCCCTCTTCTCTTTCTCCTCTACCTTGGCCAGACCATTTGCGCAGCGCAGAGTTCTAGTCTTTCTCAAAGGAGGCTGGTCGTGTTTCGTCCTTTGCGGTGGCGAGGATAAAAAGGCAGACAAGAAGGACAAAAAGGACAAGAAGGAAAAGGAGGGGAAGGATGACAATGAGAAACAAGAGAAGAAGGAGAAGAAAGACAAAAAGGAGAAAAAAAACAAAAAGCGGAAGGCCGAAGCTCTCGAGGCGGGCTGGGCTGGGAGGACGCAGCCATACACAGTGATACAGGAAATCGATTGCCGCAGGTAGAACCGCAGTCTTGTTATAAACCGTGTCTCGTCCTTACCGTGGTATCGGCACCATTCTTTTTGTCGTGAAAGCCGAGTATTGGGGCGAACTTACAGAGCTAACGCATGTTGAAGCGCCATGGCGAGAGGGTACACAGTCTTCGCTTGCGCGGGAGCGTCAGGAGCAGCCTTCGTCAAGCATGGTCATCTCTTCCCCACCCCCCCTCTCTCTCGTCCATCCCCCTTCCCCCCCACCATCCCAATGTCTCTTCCCCTCCTGCATCTCTTCCCCCCGCCGCCCTTTCCTCCCCCCCTCACGTCTGCCTCTCCCCACATCTTCCCCTCCACTTGCACGTCCACGTCTGCATTTCCACCTCCACCTCCTTCTCCTTCTCCACATCCAACTCCACCTCTCACGTTTTTTTGTTTTTTTGTTGTTGTAAGGCCTCGCAGCACACGTGCATGCTTCTCACGCACGACAGTGTATGTTGAGGCCACGGCCTCACCCGGTCCGAGCCTTGGGTAGGCCTCGGAGGATTCTCCGCATGGGTGGCTCGGTCGCTCGTTCATTCTACCTCCACCCTCACCTCCGACACCTCCTTCGGCAGCGAGCGAGGGGGGGAAGTGAGAAGGAGAAGGCCTTCTCAGAAGGCTCGGAAGTCCTCCGGCCTTTGAGAAGTTTTTTCAGCTTTCCCCGAAGACACGGACAACTTCTCAGAAGGCGCGAGAGTTCTGAGAAGTCCCGTTCCCTGAGAAGGCCTTCTCCTTCTCACTTCCCCCCTTGCTCGCCGCCAGCTCTTGGTTCTTGAGGATGGCCGTCGACGACAAGGCACGCGCGATCACGATCTGTCGCTCACCCCGCCTCCGATGAAGGTGCACGTTCGTGCCAGCGTGTTCGGGCAACCGCGGTCCCAGGGGGGATGGGGGGCATCCCCAACTTGCAACGCGGTCGGTCTTGGCACTCGGGCTGGCGCGCGCGCGCAGTGCGACGCCAGGCGAGTAAGCAAACGCGCTCGGTATTCAACTGCCTTCTCCCTGCTGCTCCCGTGCGCGCGTTGGTGAAGGGAGGAAGGGAGGGAGAGGTACGTCGAGGCTGAGGGAGACACGGATAACATGGAGTGGATGGGTGCGGTTTGGGACCTTCTCAATTCTTTCCTCCTCCCTCTTGCACCCTCTCACCCTCCTTCTGCTTCGCCTCCCCCTCCCCAGGAGGAGCAGGGGGGGCGTGGGGTGAGGGGAGGTGGTGGGGAAAAGGGGGTGGTGTTAGAATGTAGCTCGATAAGTAGTTCGGGGGGTACTCCTTCTGCATGTCGCCGTTTGCTATAAGCCAATGTTGAGCGGTGAGAGTCATGTGCCCGCTCACAGTACTGTTCGTTGCTACCGTTCTGTGTAGACGATGTCTGTTCAGTTGCATGGTAAATGAGCGAGGTCACTGTGGTGGTGTCAGGGCACGCGGCAATTTCGGGAATCAATGGCCCCCCTGCTGAACTTAACGCACCAACAGATCGTGCGACGTGGTTCGGGCTGAGCCCATAGAGATTTCACGATGTTTGCTTAGCTGTGTATGCTAGTGGAAACTACAACTATGTTGGCATCGCGTTGCAGGTGTGTCATGACAGCATGCAGGAGTTCACCACCGCCAAGGTCAACGAATGAATTCGGGGAAGGTATCTTGGAAGAAGCGTCCACGCTATTCCAGTTCATGTACGCCGCGAACCTTGTAATCACCCAGGACGATGGCGACGACTTTGACCAGTAGAGCCTTCACTAGTTTGTGGTTTAGCGGTGATCGGGTGAGTTAGCCCTCGTAGACTCACAGATATTTGATTGATTGCTACCCAGGTGGATACAATGGTTAACGAAGGCCCGACAAGTGTCTGGCATGACGTGGCTTTATAGCAAGTTGAATCGGCCGTGTTCCAGTTTGTGCTAATACTTTCCCCTCCATTTATACGGACGGCGCAACCGAGGTGAGTCTGTGTGAGTGTGTGTGTGTGTGTGCTAGTGTGCAGCTAGGCAGGGAAGTAACTCCTTCCCTCTGTCGCTGGTTGGAATTTGGCTCACGCGTTGTGTGCCGCTGTTAGACGGCGGGAGTCACGTACACGCTCACAACACTGTTTGTTGCTGTCATTCCATGTAAAAGACTCCCGTTCAATGTGCAGGATGAGGAGGGGAGGAGGGGGAGGAGAAAGAGGAGGAGAATGAGGATGAGGAGGAGGAGGAAGATAAGGAAAAGGCTGAGGATGGTTGTGAGCAGGATGGGGGAGGTTGGACGACGAGGACATGTGGTGGATGTTGGGGATGAAGTGTTCGAGGATGAGGAACTTGAGCATGAAATTATGCAGTCAGTTAATGCAGTTCACGAGATCTCCTCGATGAAAAAGGACACGTGGGGCATGGGAGGAGGAGGAGGAGGAGGAGGAGGCGGAGGAGGAGGAGGAGGAGGCGGAGGAGGAGGAGGAGGAGGAGGAGGAGGAGGATGGGGAGGGTGATGGTGTGATTGTGATGGTCATGGTACTGGCGATGGTGGCGGTGGTGATGATGAAACAAGCTTCGCCCCCACTTCCAGGGTCTGCTTGTCGCAGTGGGCCCAGGGACCCGAAACCTCTCCTCCGGGGACGCCGAAGCCGCGACCAACAGAAGAAAGACCGGCAGCGATTTTGCCGCGACACCCGGAGGTGCGGCGAAGGGACAGGGGTGGATGCGGAGGCAGAGGCGGCGGCGACGGTGGGTGGCCCGAGGTCTCCGGGGACGGTCGGAGGTCCTCCGCGGGCCTACCGAACGCACTGCAGATCCCCCCGAGGGCCCTCGACAGCCCCTCCCCGCTCCGAAAGGCCCTCGAAGGCCTCGTCGAGCGGCGGCGGCAGCGAGCGGCGGCTGCGGCCCGCGGCGGGGCGGACGGCCAGCGCGCGCGCGCGGGCGGGCGGCGAACGGCGGCACGCGAGGCGGTTGGCACCACAGAGCAGCCCGCCGACCTCGTGGCGGCGACCGAACAGCCGCCGGCGCCCGCCTCCGTGGCGGACGTGCTCCAGGACGGCGGCGGCGAGGGCGGCGGTGGCGGCGGCGGCCAGGACACCTGGGACGGCGGGCGACGGCGAGGACGAGGGCCAGGGCGAGGACCACGGGGCGGCGGCGGCGGCGGCGGCGGCGGCGGCGAGGAGGAGGAGGAGGAGGAGGGCGGGGGAGGAGGAGGAAGGAGGAGGAGGGAGGACGGGATGATGAGGGGAGGGAGGGTAGGAGGAGGAAGAGACAAAGGAGGAGGAGGAGGAGGAGGAGGAGGAGGAGGAGGAGGAGGAGGAGGAGGAGGAGTAGGAGTAGGAGGAGGCGGAGGAGGAGGAGGAGGATAGAGGAAAAGGAGTCGGCGGCGGCGGCCGAGGAGGAGGAGGAGGCGGAGGAGGAGGAGGAGGAGGAGGTCGGCGGCGGCGGGCGAGGAGGAGGAGGAGGCAGAGGAGGAGGAGGAGGAGGAGGAGAGGAGGAGGAGGAGGAGGAGAGGAAGAGGCAGGAGGAGGAGGAGGAGGAGGAGGAGGAGGAGGAGGAGGACCAGTGTAAGCCTAAACGCGCCAATAGTTCCATGCCGCTGCGGGCAATGCCCTATTGAAAAACAAGCGTCTCATAGTCCTCAATCGTTCGTATGTGCCAATCCTGGTATCGCAGCGTCCTGTCAATCCTAAGCTGTGCCAGAACATCATTCCTCTGATTGCAACACCGCGAACCGACGTTACTGTTGCGTTCCGACAATCTGGGTCTTTGCCAGAGCACGGCGCGGCGCTAAGGCGATATCCAAAGTCTGAAAAAGAGCTTCCCTTCATCAGTGAAACTGTTGCAGCTTTTCAGACGAATGTGTGCGGCGCTAAGGCGAGAGCCACATTTTGAAAATGACCCGCACTTTATCTGTGAAGTTGTTGCAAGTTTTTAAGACGAACGTGTGCGGCGTTGAGGCGAGAGCCACATTTCGAAGCCGACCCACCCTTTATCCGTGAAGCTGTTGCAAGCTTTGAGACGAAGGTGCGCGTCGCTAAGGCGAGAGCCGCATTTTGAAAACGGCCCGCCCTCCATCAGTCAAACTGTTGCACAATTTCAGAATGAATTCGCGCGGCGCGAAGGCCACAACCATATACCTCGTTTGCCTTGTTTGCCAGTCATCTTTGGAGGTTTAGGCCGGGTCCAAGACAAGTTGCTCGACGCAGCAAGCGTTGACCAGATGGAGGCTCTGTTGGATTTCAAGCTCGCGCCGCTTTCAAACAAGGAGGGACATGCCAATGTTGGGTTTGTTTCACCGTTCTGTTTTGGGGAGAGGCCCAACGCATTTCAGGCAGTTCTTCAAACTCGACGCGGCGGCGGCCAGTGATCGCGAAGGGCGGCGCCGCTTGCAGCTGGTCGAGTTCTCGGACGGACACTGGAGCGATTTTGCATTCCCCAATCCACGCCCGCCAAATTACATCAAAAACTCAGTTCTCGGCTTGGTATCCATTTACAGCCTGCTACCGCCAGAGATTGTGGAATCCTCCAGCAGCGTGTCAGAATCCCAGGGTGCACTGCAGGAGCTCCTTTGTACTGCGGCGCAGGCGAATGCAGAGGGCTGGGAACGTATATTCTGCCCGCGCGTGCCGTGGCACCAGCACCCATAGAGAGCATATCTATGAGATGCGTCGCTAGTATAAACAAGAACAGGAGGAGGAGGAGGAGGAGGATGGAGGAGGAGGAGGAGGAGCAGGAGGAGGAGGAGGGGGAGGAGGATGCAGGATCATGAAGGATTGAGGGAGAACGGCAGGGCAAGGGGGAGGAGGAGGAAGGAGGTGGAGGAGGAGGAGGAGTAGGAGTGAGGAGGCCGATAACTAGGATAAGGAGGCAGATGAGAAGGGGGAGGTGCACTAGGAGAGGAGTCCGAGGAGGAAGAAGGTGGAGGAGGAGGAGGAAGAGGTCGGTGCCTTGTCGTTCACTGCGGTAATGCGCCTCCGCCGCTGATGCACGTCGCCCCAAAAGATGTACTTCACATCTGTCAGAATGAAGTCATCCTCGTCGTCATCCTTCACCAGCACCATGGACGTAGCGCGATTCTTCAGCCCCTCGCCGCAAGCTTCGTCGGAGAAACGCAGGGCCGCCAAGAGCGCCTGCACGTTAGTAGCCCACCACGCAGGGTCAGCATCGGCGCCGGGGTCAACTGCAACAGTGGCGTCCTGAGGAGCGGCCTCTGGAACGTCGCGCCCGAAAGGTGTGACATATCAGGTAGTTGGAAGCTAGGAAGGTGAATGTCGCTTCCCTGTGAAAGCGGGGCTCTCGTCTGGATGGCAGGACCATGGGGAAATCGTTTTTCGACGGGAGCACCTCCCGTATTGAGCATGCATTCAACAGGGGGACGGGAGAGTGTGTTGCAGCATCACTGTCGCCTCTGGCCCTTCTCTTCCTCCTCCCTCCCCTGTTCTCCCTCCCCCGTCCTCCCTCCCTCCGTCCACCCTCCCACCTTCCTTTCGCCTCCCCCCTGGCCCGTGTCCGTGCCCGGAGGTGACTGACACTGGGATGCCCCTGGAAGGGCCCCCGTGCGACACTCGGGGGGCCCTTTTCTCCCCGCGGTTCCAAATCCGCACGGCGGGACGGGCCAATTGAGATCTGGCAGGGCCGTCCTCCCCTCGTGCCTCTCCTCCCACTCTTGCCTCCCAGAGGCGGGTCGCAGGCCAGCGCCGCGGGGGCGGGCCTGCTCTCCCCCTCCTCTGGCGTCGAGTCGTCGGCGTATCCTGTCCATGGCGCAATGGCGGCAGGCTGCAAGCTTTTCCCGGCGTCCTCAGCTTGTTCGTCCTGAGCGCCGAGCGGGCGACCGTTTGTGCCACTTCCGAACGACTTTCATGACGTTGGCGGTGCTGTGACCAAGTTTGTTCGCTTCGATTGTGCTTTGCTTGTTTTCTCTCCTGCTGCTGCTGCTGCTGATTCTCTTCCTCTTCTTCCTGCTCCTCCTCCTTGCATTCCGACAATGCGGCGATCGTGCCACTTACATTTTAATTTCACCTGCTTGGTGTTGCTTCGTGGCCTGGGTTACGTCGCCTCTACACCTTGGCTGTCGCCACGGGTAGGTGATACGATTGGGCGAACCTCGTGTCTTGCCGACCCTTTCTTGTGTGCGCCTCCTTCCTCTTTTCCTCTATTTCTTAATTATGTTTCAGCTTTTGTGGTGATTCACGGAGCTTGAACGCGAGTGTGGTTGCGACGACGTTGTAGGCAGCAGGCTTGAGCAGAACACTTCTCCAGAAGACTGGTGCCACTATGGTTTGTGCATAGACGCTTGCCAGCCTGCCGCCGAGGGTCAGTGGTGTTCTCTGCCCCCAGGTCGCGTGCAAGGGGCCCTCTGTTGCTGCGTCCTCAACGTTTGGAAAGCAGCTTCACATTCGCATGATCCGAAATTCTCGACTAGGGTGTCGACTACAGGAATGATATACCCCGAAATTGATGTTCCGTCGGATCTACGAACAGTATGTAGAATGCCTCGTCGATCTCATAGCATCCTACGTATGTCTGTGGTCGATCCCCTTCTCGACATGCATTGTAGATCTCAGAGCATCTTACGTGTTTCTGTAGTCGATCCCCTGCTCGAAATCAGCTTTGCCGTCGATACCCTGCCACTCTGGGGTACATCAACTCTCAAGTCGATCCCCTGCTCGAACTCCCTGCACTCTCGGAAATTGCGCCTCGCCCTCCCTCGCCCCGCCCTCCGACGCAGCGGCCCCCCCCCCTCTCTCTCTCTCTCTCTCCCGACACGTCGCGGAAGCCCCAGCACGGTGCAGTGGTTCCGCCGCCGCGCGAGCCAGTGCGGATGCGGGTCCAGCGCACGCCTTTTGGGGATCTGGGCCGTTCTCCGATGACGTCTCGGGCGACCGGGGCCTCCGCAGGTCCATGAGCCGACAGCTCGCACCCGTGCCCATGTGCGACCCCAGGAGGTCTGGGAGCGGAACGCTGGGGAGGCTGTGGGCGTGTGTTGTCGGATAGGACCCCGCTCGAATGTGAGCCCCCTCGGAGTCCGACAATCCGCGCCCCTGCTTGCAGCGCTCCCTCGGATCGCGAGGTGTGCTGTCCGTTCGCCAGAGGTCCTCGAACCGTGCGCGGATGTGCCTTGCGGTGAGGTCCTTCGAGGTGCCGTGGTCGCCGCACGGTCTGTCGCGGGCACCGCTTCGGGAACCCCAGGCTATTCTGCCCTCGCCTCGCCGCCGCGGCCGACCCAGACTCGGGGCTCGAGGGGTCGGGGGCCACAGGCCCCCTCAGATGAGCGAGGCTCGAAGGTTGGGTTTTTTGAGCGAAGCTCGAAGGTCTTAGGTCGAGAAGGTCTGACACCGCGCCCGCCGCTTTGGGACCCCGGAGCGCATTCCCTGTGCGGCGCCATTCCCACCCCCCCCGCGACGACGGGCGACAGGAGCCCCCCCAGGCGGACGCGGAGATCGCCGAGCAGGGCGACATCATGAAGGACTTCTTCGCGGAGGCGAGCCTCCCCCGGACCTCCATGCCCCCCCCCCTCCCCTCCTCCTTCTCCTCCTCCTCCTCCTCCTCCTCCTTCTCCTCCTCCTCCTCTCCTCTCCCTCCTCCTCCTGCTCCTCCTCCTCCTCCTTTTCCTCCTCCTTTTCCTCCTCCTCCTTCTCCTCCTTCTCCTCCTCCTGGTCCTCCTCCCCCTCCTCTCTCCCCCCCCCGCCTCAGACAGAGTGTAGGGTTGCCCTCCAACCATGTGAATCAGGCAGCATAGCATTAGCATCAGCAGCACCTGTAGTTCCAGCTTGCGTCGATGGGAATTCGTCGAACTTTCCGGTCGGTCGGTCGCCCCCCGGCCGACGACCAGCTAGGGGTTCTCACAGCTTGCGTCGATGACAATTCGTCGAACGGTCGGTCGGCCGCCCCCCGGCCGACGACCAGCTAGGGGTTCCCACAGCTTGCGTCGATGACAATTCGTCGAACTTTCCGGTCGGTCGGCCGCCCCTGGCCGACGACCGTTTAGGTTGCCACAAGTTTTTCTTGTAAGTAGTTGTGTCGTGCGGTGCGTGAGGCATAGCATAGCACAGTCGCAGTCCACATGATAGCATGAGGCCACGTCAGGCTAAAATCGCTGGCGGTATGTCTCACAATCCGGGAAGCATTCATTACATTCGGTGGCCGCAGCTAGGGTATAGCATCTGCTCAGAGGAGAGCTAAAGGCACGAGCGACAGCATTCGGTATCGCTCTGTTTTGGCTCAAGATAGACGAGGAGAAAAAGAGAGTCGTCAAGGCGAGGAGCAAGTCTCAGCGGCAACGCAGGCTTGTTACTCGCCTATCGGTCTCTACTGAAACTCTCCTCTGCCTTACCCTCAATCTACCAATTTCTCCAGAACTGCTTAAACCGTCCGTCTTCTTCGGGAGCTTGCGGCTGGGACGCCGATTGCAGAGTTGACGTCAGAGGAGCTATAAACATATAGTTAGATGGAACATCATTGCAGACTCTTTGGACCTCATCCCCCTCAACCTGCTGTGTACTCGTTGGACCTGATGGCAGACTCCTGTCAGAAGGCGTAACAGGCAGACGATTCCCCCCCCCTCCCCCCCCGCCTCCTCCTCCTCCTCCTCCTCCTCCTCCTCCTCCTCCTCCTCCTCCTCCTCCTCCTCCTCCTCCTCCTCCTCCTCCTCCCCCTTCTCCCCATTCCCCTACCCCCCCCCCCCCGCCCCCTCCCCCTCCCCCGCCCTTCCCCCCCCCCCTCCCCCTGCTCCCCCGCCTCCTCCCTCACCCAAGGCTTATGCTGTGGACGCTCCACCGACCCCTCCTCCCCCTCTTCTTCCCTCCCCCCTCCCCCTCTTCGTCCTCCTCCTCCTTCCCATCCGCCCCCATCTTCCCCCTCCCGCTCTTCTGCGCTCCCTCCCCCCTGGACTGGACCGTCGGTCGCCAGGCGCTGGCCTTCGAGGAGGACGTCCTGCCCTCGGAGCATCTGCCCTCGGAGCACCTGCCCTCGGAGCACCTGCCTTCGGAGGATTCCTCCCCCCTCTCCTCCTGCGGGCCGACTATGAGGATGATGATGGTGGTGTTAGTGGTGGTGGTGATGATGGTGATGAGGATGGTGGCGATGATTCTGATTATGATTCTGATTATGATTATGATGCTGATGATGCTGATTCTGATGATGATGCCTAATGGTGATGATGACGATGCTGATAATGCCGATGATGCTGATGATGCTGATGATGATGATGCTTACGGTGATGTTTGGGACCATGTTGGCTATGCTGATGATAAGACTGTTGCTGCTGATAATGCTGGCGATGCTGCTGCTGATGATGATGATGATGGTGATGCTGATGCTGATGATGATGCCGATGCTGATGCTAATGCTGAGGTTGATGATGCTGATGATGACGATGATAATGATGATGTTACGGCTGCTGATGATGATGGTGATGATGGTGATGATGATGATGATGATGAGGCTGCTGCTGATGCTGATGCTGATGCTGATGCTGCTGATGATGCTGATGATGATGATGACGATGATGATGATGATGATGATGATGATGATGATGATGGTGGTGATGATGATGATGATGATGATGATGATGATGATGATGATGATGATGATGATGATGATGATGATGATGATGATGATGATGATGATGATGATGATGATGATGATGATGCTGATGATGTGATGATGATGATGATGATGCATGATGATGGTGATGATGCAGATGAGGTGGCAGAGGCAAGGATGAGGCAACGCTGAGACACCTAGGAGGGCGACATGCTGTGTTCAGGTTTAGGCGTCAGCTGCGCGGTCGTCCTCACTCGATGCGCAGACAGCGGATCACGGTTGAGACAGGGTAGGATGTGATCTGAAAGTGACTGCGCGAGGGTAGCTGGCCGACGGAGGAGTTTGCGTTAAGTCGGGCCTGTCTTTCTACAGCGGGAATATTCAAGAATAGTCCAAACATAATCTGGGGGCTATTTCTTGACCATTTCGAGCTTTTTGGGTGTATTTTTGGGGGGTGTTTTTAATTTTGCGCCCAAAGTCCCCCTGTAGGAGGACACGCCCGACTTAAAATATGCGGCAGGTGGCAGGTGCGGCGGTGGCGGCCCGCGGCCACGCTCGCCGTAGTGGGAAGGCCCAAGGGTCTCTCCCTCTGCTCACAGGAGCCCTCCGCAGGCGTCCCCGAGATCAGAGACGGGATCCCTCACCCGCAAGAAGGCGTACAGTCGGACTCGATTGGAGAGGGCACGCGAGAGGACACAAGACCCTTCCGAGGGCCACGTTGCCACAGGAATGTAGGAAACATGGGTCGCGAGACACAGGACACAAAGGTACCCTTGATTTGGCAGGGTCGACCTACTAATCCGGGCCGACTGTAGGGTTCCTTGTGCATTGACCTCGGGGCCGCCTGGGGGGGTTTGCGTTGCCGGGCTTCTCGTCCTCTGAGAAGGCGAAGCGCTGTCTGCTGTGTCTTGAGCCAGGCGCAGGCACCAAAGACGCCCGTTGGGCTTTCTCACTGAAGCTCAGAACCATCGCGCGAGGATTCGGGCTCGAACTTGCGCCGCGAAGAGTTCAAGACAGGCCGAAACCTCTGAGCGGCCAGGCATGTCGATGACGTAAGCACGGCAGGAGCGGAGGACGCTATTGACAAGTGCGTCGCATGTATAGAAAATACGCTCGGCGCTGGGAAACTGAACCAACACCGTTACACCAGTTGCGCCGCGCGGTGCGTGGGGGCAGAGAGCGGCCGCGTCCAGCTATATCAGGAGGAATGCATTACTCCGCTGCGTCGGATAGGCACCCTCGCAGCGTGCGCAGGAGCCCGCAGACCTCCGAGCACGGAGGCTCAGCGCCGTCGCGCGCAGACTTCAGCAGGGTCCAGAGAAGATCAGATATGGGCTCGTGGCTCCGGCAGGAGAAGTGGGCCTTCACAGTGACCCGGGCATCGTCACCCTAATGGGGGCGAAGATGACGTGGGGAAGGGGTGGCGCCCCCCCAGGGTCCGACCTTTTACTTCGCGGGCGTGCGCCTAATGGCAAAACAGTCGTGGATTTGACCGATGCGCGCTGCAAATCGCATCGCTTGCAAGTGCGTTCCAGCTACTCAGCTGAAGCGCTGGCAGCCGCTCATAATCTTGAGGGCTTCTACCCTACCATAGTTGCGGTACGTGGGCCTAAGGCTGGACCCCATGCGCCCCCCTCAACTTCAGAACATTATGGAGTTATGTTTTCTCAGCATTTAGGCCATCCTTGCCATGGGCTCTTTTCATCCTTGTCAAGTAAGGACTTGAAGAAGCCGACCGGATGCGCCCAGCTGGGGCGCGTCAGCTGCATGAGACAAACTATGGACCGAGGTATACTTCATAGCGTGCAGTTCTAGAATGCGCGGGACATGGCCGCTGACGGTCGTGCCGAGGATGTATAGATCGTGCGTTGCTACTGCAAATAATGAAGGGCAATCAGTCTTCAAGTTCGAAGTAAAGAATTACATGCCCAATCGAGGCATGAAATACACAACGCCAACATGGGGGGGGGGGTCTACTCAGGGCCGGCGGATATCAATGAGGACGACTACCCATACAAAGACAAGTCGTTTTCCTTGCCCGGACGCGGGCGTGCATGCCAACAAGTAGTCATCTTCGCCCTGCCACGGGCATCTATATATATGTATATCTATATATATACATATGCTTCCGCGGCTACCATGAGTGCACGGGCGCGGGCATCATCCTCTCTTAGTTTTTTTTTTGAGGGGGTCTGACCGCTTGGTCATATCCCCTCACGCGCTGCGCGCTTTGACGTTTGGCCCACTGGCTGGACGTTCGCCCCATTTGTCTGTGGGAAGTCACGCGGTTTTGCCCGTGACTGCCCATGGCCGTCTGCGGCTGGTCGTGGCAATGCGCCAAGGCCGGGCCTGATGCTTGATGCTGTTTTTACTGTTGCTTTGGTATTGCGCGTTGTTGGGGATGTTGAAACACTGTACCCCCATCCTTCTCTCTTTTAAATGCGTTAGGGCCTGGATCTAGCGTTCGGTCCCTCCCCTCCCGACTTCAAACGAGGTTTCAGGAGAGACTGTATAGCGAACGCTCTATCCGACGCTGTCTTGGTTCAAGGCAGCGCTGTCCTATTCGCTATGTGCGCGCGACTCCTGTGCGCTTCCATTGGGATCGTAGCATCAGACGACGGCCACGCCTATCCATGATCCACCTTTCCATCCCATGGCAGATTTTTTTCCTCTTGTCTTGCTTGCCATCAAGGGGTGAGTTGTGGGATGCTTCGGTACGTCTCCGACGTTATCCTAAGAGTAGGTTTTTCAGCGTATTACCTATGGTCGAGCCCTGTACCCTTACTTCTTATTGCCAGAGCTTCGGCCGCCGCAGACTGCCAGCCTGCGTCGCAGCCCTGGCGTTGCGCGCAGACGTGACGACGCGACGAGAGTTTGGCGCTGCCCGAGGCGTCCTTGGCCCAAGGTGCCCCCAGGGCTTCCGGAGAGGCCCGGATGGCCTCCAAAGCTTCCCTTGCGAGGTTCAAAAACGCCCCAAGGGGCTCCAACATGGCCCCCGCAGCTACGGACGCTCTCACCATCCGCTGAAAGAGGGCAGGCCGTTCCGGGAACGCTTGGGGACACCAGGGCGGCCCCGCGGCCTGCGGGCGACGTGGGTCCACCCTTTCGCCCTTCCCGCAGCCTGCGCCCTACGGCTGCCTATGAGCAAGCCAGCGGGCGACCAGACTCCACCGTGCGGGCGCATCGGACACTTCCCCCTGGCCAGCCTGTGGGCGAGGTGGGCCCCTTCCACTTCAACGTGTGCATCACAGCTGCCTGTAGCAAGAGCTCCAGCGAAACACCTGGACCGCCCTCTTATGATACGTTTGGTGGCGCGACATCCAGGGGTTATCTGCAAGGGGGAGGGGCGGAGGAGGCGGAGGAGGGGGCGGAGGAGGTGGTGTAGGAAGAGGAGGAGGAGGAGGAGGAGGAGGAGGAGGAGGAGGAGGAGGAGGAGGAGGAGGAGGGAGGAGGAGGAGGAGGAGGAGGAGGAGGAGGAGGAGGAGGAGGAGGAGGAGGAGGAGGAGGAGGAGGAGAGGAGGAGGAGGAGGAGGAGGAGGAGGAGGAGGAGGAGGAGGAGGAGGAGGAGGAGGAGGAGGAGGAGGTGAGGAGGAACGAGAAGGGAGGCAGGGGATGATGATGATGCTGATGATGATGATGATGATGATGATGATGATGATGATGATGATGAAGATGATGATGATGATGATGATGATGATGATGATGATGATGATGATGATGATGATGATGATGATGATGATGATGATGATGGAGGAGGAGGAGGAGGAGGAGGAGGAGGAGAAGGAGGAGGACGAGGAGGAAGAGGAGGAGGAGGAAGAGGAGGAGGAGGAAGAGGAGGAGGACCATTACAGGCTTCAAGGAAGGCAGGGGGTAAGGGGTTAATCGTCCCGACCTAACCTTATATGCAAGTTGGAGCTCACATCCTCGATCTTTGTTACGCCTCCTCATCATGCTCAGCCTCTCTGGCCTCTTCCTCGAGAAGATCGGTGACTGGGATGGGCTTGGCGAGTCGGGGGCGGGACTGTATTGAGTCCCTCGGGTGGCGTCCGTACACGAGGCGCTGCCAAACACTTGCTGCAAACGTACTTTTCAATTTTCTGATGCGCTCAGTGTACAAACAACAGAAGTTGCAAACCACTACAAACGATTTCATAGTGGTGTGATCACAAACGTAGAGACAATGCCTTCTGGGTTCTCTTGATCAGCGCCGACAGAGAAGATTATTTGCCTGAGCACTGCTGTCTCGCACGGCTCTGTCTTGTCGAGCCGGTGCGGGCAACAGTGTGACAGGCGAGGCACAGCCAGTGATTGCTGAGCCATCACCAGACGTGCTCATTCGGGACTCGGCTGGCTTTGGCTCTCCTAGGACCGCTGAGGAGGAGGAGGAGGAGCAAGAGCAGGAGGAGGAGCAAGAGGAGGAGGAGGATGAAAAGGAAGAGAGGGAG